GGTTTGATAATGAGTGGTATGATATTGAGTGGTGTGATAATCAGTGGTGTGATAATCAGTGGTGTGATAATGAGTGGTGTGATAATGAGTGAGTAGTGTGATATTGAGTGGTGTGATAATAAGTGGTGTGATAATGAGTGAGTGGTGTGATAATGAGTGGTGTGATAGTGAGTGGTGTGATAATGAGTGGTGTGATATTGAGTGGTGTGATAATGAGTGGTGTGATAATGAGTGAGTGGTGTGATAATGAGCGAGTGGTGTGATATTGAGTTGTGTGATAATGAGTGGTGTGATAATGAGTGAGTGGTGTGATAATGAGTGAGTGGTGTGATATTGAGTTGTGTGATAATGAGTGGTGTGATAATGAGTGAGTGGTGTGATAATGAGTGGTGTGATAATCAGTAGTGAGATAATGAGTGGTGTGATAATCAGTAGTGAGATAATGAGTGGTGTGAATATGAGTGGTGTGATAATCAGTGGTTTATAACGAGTGGTGTGAATATGAGTGGTGGGATAATTAGGGCAGTACCGAATAGTGATTTTCACTATTCGACCGAATACGAATAGCTTTACTAACTATTCGGTCGAATACGAATAGTGAATCATCATCATCAGGTGCTTTGGCGACTGGCATGGGAGATTATGCCTTGCCACAATCTGCGATCTCCTGCAGCATCTATTAGTTCGTGTGCTGACACACCTCCATGCCATGCAACAAGACTTTCAAGAATCTTCTCTCGTTGTCTTCCTCTATCCCTCCTTCCACAGATCTTTTCAGTGGTCACCACATGTTCCATTTTCCCTCATCTTATAACATGGCCGAAAAATGATGACTGTCTCCTTCTGATCTCTGTGAGCAGTTGTCTTCGGGCTCCCGCCTCTTTTAAAACCTCTTGGTTGCTTTTTTCTGGCATTCCAAGGTATTTTAGGCATTATTATGTAAAACCACATCTCCGAGGCCTCAAAAATTGTTTGGCCTGCCTACCGATTGTTAAGGACTCACAGCCATATGTAAAAACTGGAAATATGTAGCAAGCAAGAAAGCATTAGCTTTCAAAAAAACAAAAACACAATCGTTCCATGTTGTCAGCATTAAGGCAGCTTCTTGTCTCACTGAAGTATTTCCAGCTGTGCTAAACTGACGTTCACTTGGTACGCTCGTAGGTGGTGCACAAAGTAACGCTTGACAGTATGAACCAAGGTGGGAAATCTTGATATGTTCATTTTCCACCAGTCCAGAAACGGGTGTAAGGTAACCACTATTCGTATTCGGCCCAACCGCAACTATTCGGCTGAATACCGAATAGTTATTACACCCACTATTTGGCCCCGAAGCTAATACAAATCGAATATCAGTACAGCCCTAGTGATAATGAGTGATTTGATAATCAGTGGTTTGATAATCAGTGGTTTGATAATCAGTGGTTTGATAATCAGTGGTGTGATAATTAGTAATGTGATAATGAGTGTTTGATAATCAGTGGTTTATGACAAGTGATTTGATAATGAGTGGTGTGATAATGAGTTGTGAGGTAATAAGTGGTTTGATAATCAGGGGTTTATAAAAAGTGGTGTGATAATGAGTGGTTTAAAACAAGTGGTGTGGTAATGAGTGGTTTAAAACAAGTGGTGTGATAATGAGTGGTTTAAAACAAGTGGTGTGATAATGAGTGGTTTAAAACAAGTGGTGTGATAATGAGTGGTTTAAAACAAGTGGTGTGGTAATGAGTGGTTTAAAACAAGTGGTGTGATAACAAGTGGTATGATAATGAGTGGTGTGATAATGAGTAGTTTGATAATGGGAGGTTTGATAATCAATGGTTTGATAACAAGTGGTGTGATAATGAGTAGTTTGATAATGAGAGGTTTGATAATCAATGGTTTGATAACAAGTGGTGTGATAATGAGTAGTTTGATAATGAGTGGTTTGATAATCAATGGTTTGATAACAAGTGGTGTGATAATGAGTATTGTGATAATGAGTGGTTTGATAATCAGTGGTGTGATAATGAGTGGTGTGATAATGAGTGGTTTTATAATGAGTGGTTTGATAATCAGTGGTTTGATAATGAGTGGTTTGATAATGAGTGGTGTGATAATTAGTAATGTGATAATGAATGTTTGATAATTAGTAGTTTGATAATAAGTGGTATGATAATGAGTGTTTGATAATTAGTGGTTTGATAATGAGTGGTGTGATAATGAGTGGTTTGATAATGAGTGGTGTGATAATCAGTGGTTTGATAATGAGTGGTGTGATAATGAGTGGTGTGATAATTTCTAATGTGATAATTAATGTTTGATAATTAGTAGTTTGATAATGAGTGTTGTGATAATGAGTGTTTGATAATTAGTGGTTTGATTATGAGTGGTTTGATAATGAGTGATTTGATAACAAGTGGTGTGATAATGAGTGGTGTGATAATGAGTGGTGTGATAATCAATGGTTTGATAACAAGTGATGTGATAATGAATATTGTGATAATGAGTGTTTGATAATGAGTGGTATGGTAATGAGTGGGTTGATAATGAGTGGTTTGATAATGTGGTGGGTTAATTCATTTTAATTTAGCGAATTCACTAAGTGCAATCTACAGCAGGAATTGCAAACAGTGAAACATCCTAAAAGGTTATCTTTCTCCCAGCCTTGCTGGTTAAAGGAGAGGATTCAGGGTTTGCCTACATCTGATTCCCTACTGTTAATAAATTGAATATTTAAATGTACTAAAATATATTAGCTTTGGAAAGTTTAAATCATATGACTGGGGAAAAACAAAAATACTAATTGATGGTTGACATAGTGGATTAATATGTTCACTCATTTGTCGTTTATGCTCTATGGGTTGGCTTGGGGCTTAGCCTTGGCTTCCACTTCTTTTTTTAATTGTAGAAATGAAAATAAGTCCACTGGTGCCGTGACCTATTTTCTTGGTGTCCTGCTCTATTTTCCACAAGTAGTAGGTTGAGAGGTGCACCCCCCTCCCCCCACTTTTTTTTCTTTAAAAAAAAGACTTTGGTTGCCAGGTCCACCAGCCTTGAATATAAGAAATGGAACTATTGCAGTCAAGCGCATGTGTGGGAGGGGTTTAGCACTAGTTGTTTTTATTCTCTGGTACCCCTACTGAGATTTTCCAATTCTATTTTTGGCCACAGTCCACTCTCCCCCCTCAACACGTTTTTCTTCTTCTTCTCTCCTTCTTTTTACCTTTGATTCTCTCTCTTCTTCTCCTTTATCTCTCCATCCTTCCTCTCTTCTTTTCCTTACTCTGTTCGGTCTTTCTCTCCCTCTTGCCCCCTGTCTTCTTTGTCTCCTCTCCATCCTATCTCATTTTCTCTAGATTTCCTCACCCTCTCCTCTCTCTCTCTCTCTCTCTCTCTCTCTCTCTCTCTCTCTCTCTCTCTCTCTCTCTCTCTCTCTCTCATTCTTCTCTTTTATCCATCATCCGCCCCATATTTTTTCTAATTTTTCTACATTTGCTGTGCTGCCCCAAAACTGTCTTTTCCTAGTGCTTGTGTCCAGTACACATGAAATTGTGTTTGGGAAGTGAGGGGGGGGGGGGGGGGAGGGTGGGAGGGGGGGGGGGTTTCAACATGAGGCTAGTAGTTTTTCTTTTCTTTTATGTGTTGTTATAATTGTAAGCAGTTCTGGCATATTTTCGCTCTCTATCTTGTCTCCCTACCTGCCCCTCTCTCTTAATCTGTGTCTGTCACTGTCTTCTTCTCTCATCTCTCTCTCTCTCTCTCTCTCTCTCTCTCTCTCTCTCTTTCTGTCTGTTTGCCTTTCTCCGTCACTTCCTCTTTGTTTACCACCCTCCCATTCTCCTGCTCTGGCTTTTTTCTCTCTCTTTGGTTCTCTGCCTCTGTATGTTTGCCTCTCTATACTGTCCCTCTCTCTCTCCCTCCCTCCTTTCTGTCTACATCTTTCTCTGCTTGCATCTCCCTGTCCCTTCTCTCTCTCCCTCCCTCCAACTCTCTTTGTCAAATTTTTTCCTTCTTCCATATCTCTGTTTCTTTCCCTTCTTCCTTCTCTCTTCCTCTGCCCATCTCTTTACCTGCATTTCTTTTGTTTTTGGGTCTCCCTCTCTGCCTTTTGCTCTCTCTTCCCCATTGTCCCTCATCATGTCTCCATCCCTCCCTCTCTTTGTCATCTGTTTTTCTCCTTCCCCCATCTCTTTTTCTCTTTTTTCCACTTTCCTCATCTTTCCATTGTCTCTCCCAATCTACCTCAGCATCTGTCTTCCTTGATTTATGTCTTACTCTATCTCTCTCTCTACCCTCCCCCTTTCAGGTACCAGAACCGACAGGACTTCAGTTTGCTCTCCTCTACCACCAAGTCTAAAAAAAAATATTTAAAAATACTATATCTGTGCAAGGCATGTGCATTAATGAAGTATGTGTGTGCTCGGTACACCCTTGAACAAGGCTTAAATACCTTGTTTCAGTATTACTCTGAGACAACCTTGAAAAAAAACTAAGGATACCCTGAAAAGGTCATTGAAAAGCTTTGAAATTGATTTAGAAATTTGACTATGAACCTTGAACAGATATTTCTAATTAATGTTTAACTTTGCTCTCCCACACAAGGGTTCTAATTAACTTGTAACTTTATTTTGATTGAATGTTTCTGATAAACTTGTAACTTAGTTCTGTTGAAAGTTTCTGACAAACTTGTAACTTTGTTCTTTCAACTGAATATTTGTAATGAACATGTAACTTTGTTCTCCTGACAAAACATGGGGACAAAATAACTTGAAACTTTGTTCTCCTAACAGAATATCCAAACAAAACTCGAAACTTTGTTGTCCTGACAGAAAATAGGAGGACAAAACAGATTGTAAATTTTCTCTCTTCTCCCAAATATTTCTGGTAAACTTGTAAATATTTCCCAGACAGAAAAGAAAACTTTTCAACTTGTGGCTCTGTTTTATTTTTAAAACAGAAAACTGAAGGTTTTAAAAATACACTTTATTAAAAAAAATGTTCTAATGTTTTACATGCAGAAATGGAATCTTCCATCGTGATGTGAAACCTGAAAATATTCTCATTAAGGTAATTCTGTTGTCATGTTTTGTTTTATTGATTTTATTTTCATACTAGCTGTACCCGGCCACGCGTTGCTGTGGCGTAATTTGACTACATGGAAAATAGAGAACATAGAAATGTGTCTTCCCTTCACGCTAGCGATGTACAGAGCAACAGCTAAACCACAGCTAATAAAACTGGTTACAAAAGTGGTTATTTGGTTATCACATGCTAAAGCTGTTTGTATTTTTATAGGAGACGGAAGTAAAGCTACAACTGTACTTGTAAATAACAAAGTAAGTTGTAAAAAATAGAAAAGCGGAGGTAGCGTTAGTAAAATATAAACAAATTAGGTAATGAGAACTTGAAAATCACGTTTAAAGCTCTTTAAGTTCTCTTAAATTTTTTTACCCACCACGCAACATGGCTAGTGCTGTCACCACGACAGAGCAGATGAGGATATTATTTTAGTCCAAGGTAAAAAAAAAATTAACTGCTGCGGATTCGAACCCAGGTCTACCGCACTTGAACCCAGTGTTCTAACCATTCGACCAAGCAGCCACTTAATCGGAAAACGAAAAGAGAACACAACTATTAGACATATGTGTCCCTACCACTGTGTCGCGATTAAAACACAATTCAAAACCGCAGGCAATTGTTTTCTCGTAGACAGATACTCCAGATATGTTAATGAAATAGAAATCGCACGTGTCTAACACAGTTAATGAAGTTAATGTCGCAGTCACTGTCTCCCCCGACGTCGAGATAGTCCTCGATGCCCCCCCCCCCCCCCCCCCCCCCCCCCCCCCCCCCCCCCCCCCCCCCCCCCCCCCCCCCCCCCCCCCCCCCCCCCCCCACCAATCGAAGGTTGTTTGAAAAAAAAACAGAAAATAGAAATCGTGTTTAATATGGTTTTGTGGCAAATATAGAGATAGTCTTGTTTGCTGTACCATGACCTACTCTATGTATTAGTATTAGAGAAGGCGTTGGCTGCACGTATAACTCGCCGGCGAATGGTAAATACGGCGCATGCGCAATTACTAACGTGGCTATAATTAGAAATCACTAAAGTTATAAATATTAGTTGCGTATATTTTGGCATTAATTGTGGTCACCTATCTTTAACAGTGACAGGTTGAATTTCAAACCACGGCGGTTCAAAATCCGGTATCACAACAAACATATCCTGAAAATTTCAGCTAAATCAGTTCAGTAGTTTCCGAGTCTATAGGGGTGAAACAAACACACAAACATTGATTTTTATATATATAGATGTTGTATGAGATCAGTTTTGTGTTAAAAGAGAAAACTACAAATATTGGTATTGTGACATTGAGGTCAGCTAAGTAAATTATCAATTGATGATCAGCTTCACACCTACCGCTCTGACAGTTGCATTGCCAACATGTACCTTACTGTACATGTACAGCAACTATGCAAGTCTCTGATATGATTATCCTAAGCAATTACAACAAACAATATCAGACAGATGTCACATGGGTTAGTTCGTAGTAGTATAACGCACAAAAGAGGCTGTACAATTGCACACGGTGCAGTGTAATGAGGGATACACACTTGCACACACACACACACTTGCGAGCATGTATGCACGCAAGTTCGTGCACACACACACACACACACATGTTTAATAAAGGAAACACACATACACAGAGACACCAGATTAATTAAGGATGTACACATTCACAGAGACACCAGTTTCATCAATAATACACACACATATAAACTGAGACACATTTAATCAAAGAAACACAGAAACACCAGTTCAATCGAGGATACACACAAACACAGACACCAGTTTAATCAAGGAGACACACAATCACAGAGACACCAGTTTAATCAAGGATACACACATACGCAGACACCAGTTTAATCAAGGCTTCTAAAGCCCTAAATCATGTTGGCATACGTGTAGAATACTGCTTGGTGGCCATATTCTATTTAAACAAACACTTAGTAACTCCGTAAATCTCGCAAATATACTATATTTTCGACTTTCAGACCATGTTTTTAAAAAACTTCACTTGTCACGCGTCAATTGGGCTTGTAATGAAATATAGGCAGAAAGGGATTAAATGAACAAAGCATATATTTCAGACCACCACACGGCGTACTAATCCATCACTGTGTGAAAGGACAGAAATGGGTGATTAGAAAGCCATGGCCTAGCCAACTATGCAGAACATCTTCATGATAACCACCATGACATCTGACAGTGAGGGATGAAACATTCGACGAGTGCCCGTGAGCTGTGACCAGCTGAAGAGATACGTTCATCCAAACGTGACCACCAAAGACAGGTGACAGGGGAGTGATTGAGAAGGTACGCCAGAAAGAGCGGGAAAGCGGGAGAATAAGGTCAGAGCCAGGGGCTTGAGAAGTGAGTTAGCCCCCGAAACCGCTTGAGAAGACAGTTAGGGCTGGACCGCGAGAGAAACCGGTTAGAAGAAAACTAGTACTGTACTTCGTTAGAAGGATATGCTAAAATTGGAGTTTAGCTAGAACAGTGATTGACTAACTCGTAGAGAGAAATAAGAATAGATAGTTACAAGATAACAAACATTTCATATACTATTGCTTATTGAATTTATGAAGTCTGTGTGACGAGAATATTGTGAATAAACCAACTCTTGTGTAATTGTTACATCACTGGCCTTGTTCTTGAATACGATTGAAGAGAGCTACGAACTATATTCATTCAACTTGGCCGAATTAGGCACATCTATTTCTTGGGGGATGTATAGGCACGACTGTGCCACAAGTGTGAGGATATTTGGAGCCGTGACCAACGATCAGTCTTGTGTACTCGACATCTTTAAAAAAAAACAAGACTGCTGTTACAACATAACAAATAAGCAACTGCTATAAAAAGGTGAACTAAAAGCAAGTTTATGATTGTACCTGCTGAGTAAAAAAAAAAAAGTCGATAAACCCGTCATCAGATTGGAGAGACGTAAACCAGACCAACAGCCTGCACCACCTTTTGAAGCCAACCGTCTACACTAGAATCAGGGGGACACGCCCGTTCTAGCCTGGAGCAAACCGTCTACACTAGAATCAGGGGGACACGCCCGTTCTAGCCTGGAGCAAACCGTCTACACTAGAATCAGGGGGACACGCCCATTCTAGCCTGGAGCAAACCGTCTACACTAGAATCAGGGGGACGCGCCCGTTCTAGTCGGGAGCCATAATATAAACTTTTCCTAACTTTACACACTCGGAAGACTATAGGAAAGTCAAGAACTGTGAGCTGTCCGATTTTACAAATAGGAACTAAAAAAAAAAAAAGCGCGATTTTAAAGAACCTTGAACATTAACATTAATTAGTTTAAATATATTGTGATTTTCATTTTTTCAGTGGTGTAGGAAAAACCTTTCTATCTTTCCCCTACCTTTCTTCCTAAACGTAGAAAATAATTCCAGGACAGTGCCGATTTTTAATTACAGTGTGTTGTGAAACGAGAATTTTTTTTCAGACCGCACTTAACAAGGTAATTTGACATTTTCTTTTCATTTTAATTTACTTACATTACGTAATTTCCCAGATTTTTTAAAAATGGCAGAAAGGGAACAGTAGAAGCCTAGTTCAGCAGAGTTTTAGGAGAAGTCAGCAAGGCTGTCTCCAGATTAGATTGTAGCGTTCGGCGACAGGGAATAACAGGGGTTATTGAACCTTTCAGGGGAGACACAAAAAAGTTTAAAAAGTGGGTAAACGAGATAGAAAAGTATGCTTTCCTTTCAGGTGTGACAAGTTTCGACATCAAACGTTTAGCATACCAGATGAGTTCTTCCCCGGTTTCAGAACACATAAGAAGAAGATTAGAGCAGAATGAAGAAGAAACCTGGGAAGAACTGAAAAGAGATTTAGCACAAAATTTCAGCGACGTCACAGACAGACAGATGGCCTTTTCCCTCTTACGACAGATCAAACAGGGCAAAGATGAGAGCACACATAATTATTCGCAGAGAATACAGAGTCTCGCGCAAGATGCATTTCTTAAAGAAGAGATACAATCACAACAAACTCAGCTTATTTTAGTTTCAGTCTTCAGTGACAATTTAAGGGACAGTTCACAAAAACTTCGTTTAATGCGTTCTGGGCCAACAACTCTAGAACAGGCAGTAGCCATAACTCTTAAAGAAGAGAGTTTAAGGCGAAAAGTGTTCCTTCAAACTGGACGAAGAACAGAAGAAGAAGATACTAGGTTGACGGAACCCATGGACATATCACATTTTAGACCACACAGAGAAAGACACACAAATGAGAGACACAGACACTCTAACATACAGGCAGTGCAACACACTTTAACGTGTTATAACTGTTCAGGCCCCCATAAAATCCGATTCTGCCCGACAGGTAACCGACCCACAACACAGCCGATAAACCGACCGCTCGTTAACACAGATTTCAGAGGTGAAAGGTCATGGCAGGTCAGTCACAGAAGTCAGGGATTTAACACAAAATAACGGCGGCTGGAGAAACCATTATTCGGGAAACGCGCAATCCGCTCGCTGGCCGAGGCATAGATATATATATATATGTAGTCATATGTGCTGCACCAGCAAGCAAGCGGGTTGCAGGTAATGAGTGTATGTATATGTGTGTGTGTGTGTGTGTTTTCTTTAACTACTGTGCGTTTGAGAATGCATGCTGAATTTTAGTAATACAGTGAGATAGTATTTTGGCTACGGGACACCAGTAGGCAGTCCGAAACCCAAGTTCAAGGTGTCTCCTTTGTGCCACAGAACTGCATGGCTGTTGGGTGAACAGTCGTTAACGAAGGCAGTCAGGTCGTTGTTGGGGCGAGGCTTGCTGGTGGATGTAATGTCCTAAATCCCTTCCCCAGCTAAAAGTAGGGTACTGCTGGGGTGACAGTTTATTAACCCTCACATAATGCTTCAGGTCCAAATGAACACTAGGCACTGCCACTGTTTTGAGCCGAGGCATAAATTTTTGCTTCTGCCAGACTGTGGCCGTTGCTTTTTTGCTCAATTTGTAGACTGGAAGTATACAGTTTCATTGCCCAACTTTTGAGTTGATTGCATGGCAAGACACTGTGAGCTCGGATTTCATTTGGAATGTTTTTTGACTGACCAACCTGGTGGTGTGATTTGTAGATTCAGAAAATGGTGCGATGCTGGTTGTCACAATATTGGTGGAGCCATTGTTTGATTACAATTGATCGCGTGTGCAACTGCTGATTTTTCAATGACTTCTGCTACCATCAATGATGAACTGCATTTCTAGCGTCAGACTGTTTGTATTAGCACTTCGGATGGCTGCCATATGCTTTTAATGCGAGTGTATGCTAGATTTGCTGAGACAGCAGTTTGTCAGTCTTTTTACAAGGGACTGTGATAAAAATTCTGTATGTTTTTCGTTGGCACAGGAGCGGAGCAAAGATGGGGTGACCCGTTTGAAATGAAGCTGAAATTAAAATTACCAGATTACCAGATCCCCCCCCCCCCTCCCCCAGTGTTAAATTTACTTGTTTGTCAGCCATTTTCCTTTAAGAAATTGTCATCTCAAAACAGCACTGAATATTCAACCAGAAGAAAAACCTGTTTCCCTATTGTGCAAACCATGATCTTATTACCTTTGTTTCTCTTTAGGATGATTTGTTGAAACTGGCGGACTTTGGCTCTTGTCGTAGTCTGTCATCCAGACAGCCTTACACTGAATATATTTCTACAAGATGGTAAGGTCAGTTCTATCCTTTCCTCTGTCATTTTAAATAAGTCAGGTCACTGTGTATCATTATCAGTAGCATATATCTGCCTGAGTGTGTGTGCATGTGTGGACCTACATATGTGTACCCCCTCCTCGCTTTTATGCTTACCCATCTGTCACCATGGTCTCTAAATGCTGTAAAGCAGATAGCGAGGCCATTGACATGTACAAATAATTGTCCTCCCCAGCAATATTCTTTCGCATGTGGGATGATAACTTAAGCCTAAAGATGGCATTTTGTAGTTCACCCATAGTAAATGGCTCCCTCATAGAGGCAGGAGTATCTGCCTGTCTCTTATTTGTTTGTATTTCTTTCCTTATTTCTCTCTGATGGTCCTCATTAAGGGTCAGGTTGCTTTCAACACTGTATGTTCTGGCAAACAAATCTGCAGCTTGTTTTCCTCTGAAGATTTTGTCACCATCACTTAGTGTGATTGTTTGTCTAGGAGAGAAACTTTCTTCATTGAGGGATTTGGCTAATCTCCAGAGTTTCTTGCCATCTTTTTCAAGGTTTAGAGCTGCTGTTTTATTTCTCCAGCTTTTCCGTTTTTCTTCAAGTTTAGTTCTCTGGAACACTGCTACAGCCTTTTTTCCATTTGGTGTGGTTGTCAGGTGAAGGTTGGGATTCTGCATCCTTTCTAGCCTGATTCATTGTTTCCTGATATTCCTGGAGTGTGCTGGACCAGTACGGTCTGTAGTCGTGTTGACAACCTCTGGGGATTGCTTCTTTTGCAGCTTGAAGAAAACTTCTATTGAAATCGTGCACTATAGCATTGATAACCCTATTTTTTACCTTGAGCAGACAGCAATGTGCTTGATCTGTGTCTGTACAGGCCCCAGTTGGCTTTCTTGTAGTTCCATCTTGTGATGACTGGGCCTGTATTAACTGATACATTCTGGACAGTAAGAAAAATTGGGCGATGGTCACTGCCCCCCAGCTGGTCTCCGACCTCTCTACTTATCATTCCAGATATATTTGAAGGCAAGATCTGGGGTTGACGTTGTCTGCCACCTTCTGGAGTAGAAGGTAGGAGTATCTGAGGGGGCATTGATCAGGATCAGAGAGTGGTCATCTTGCCATGTTTTCACCTCTTCACCCCTATTGTCGGGATGGTTATAGCCCCAGCTCTGTGAATGACTGTTGAAGTCTCCAACTGCAGTAAAGTTGGTATCTGGTACCGGCACAGAGCTGAGGCTTAACGATTTGTCACTGGGACATTAGTAGTTGAGGAGGTCTAATTCCACTTTGTCTGTCTTAAGCTGCAGGAGTTGGTACTCAGCTCCATCCATTTAAGAAATTTTCATGCATGGATGGATACTATTTTTTACAAGAGTAAGTAAGTACTCCTCCTTTCTGCCTGCCTTGTCTATCTGATCTGAAGCACTGGTAGCCTCTCACTTTAAATATCTAATCTGCCTGCAAATGGGTCTCTTGGATGCAGCATACACTGACATGCTTTTCATAGAGGATGTTTTCCAGCTCCATCTTTTTGCTGTAGCCAGCCTGCTTACTGCTGACACCCTCTGCATTCCAGTGCATTATGACGAAAGGCAATTTGGGATCTTTTCTGTCTAACTGGTTTTGGTCAGTAGCTATCATCCGCCGTCTCCTGACTCCACAAGATGGTCTAGGAGGTCCTCCAGTAGCTGGGGGTGGATTCTGTCGAGGCTCAGAACCCGGCACTGCACCTGCCTGGTGGAGCTCCACAGGGCGAGCACCAAGATTAAATTTGTCCGACGATGTAATAATATATATAGTGTGGGGTTTCGTAGTACTGTGGTTTTTGATCCACCTTCTGGCCCAGTATTTCCGACTTTAAGATCTCTTGAGAGGGAGAGTAGGCTCATCCCTTCGCCTTTACTTCGTTTGTTGTCCCATCCAGTTTCCCGCTTGGGGTTGAGACCCCAACCTTCAACTGGATTGCTGGGAAGAACAGGGTCCACCACGTGAAGGTGAGGTAGGCTTAAGCAAAAGAGGCTAACAGACATTAAGAGTCTTGTATTGCACATCATTGCTCTATTAGGACCTCGCTTGTGTGCATTAAACAGTCCTGCTTGTAGATGCATTAGTGCTGCTTGTATACATTAAACAGTCCTGCTTGTTTACATTAAACAGTCCTGCTTATAGATGCATTAGTGCTGCTTGTATACATTAAACAGTCCTGCTTGTTTACATTAAACAGTCCTGCTTGTTAACATTAAACAGTCCTGCTTGTATACATTAAACAGTCCTGCTTGTATACATTAAACAGTCCTGCTTGTAGATGCATTAGTGCTGCTTGTATACATTACACAGTCCTGCTTGTTTACATTAAACAGTCCTGCTTGTATACATTAAACAGTCCTGCTTGTATACATTAAACAGTCCTGCTTGTAGATGCATTAGTGCTGCTTGTATACATTAAACAGTCCTGCTTGTATACATTAAACAGTCCTGCTTGTAGATGCATTAGTGCTGCTTGTATACATTAAACAGTCCTGCTTGTAGATGCATTAGTGCTGCTTGTATACATTAAACAGTCCTGCTTGTAGATGCATTAGTGCTGCTTGTATACATTAAACAGTCCTGCTTGTTTACATTAAGCAGTCCTGCTTATAGATGCATTAGAGCTGCTTGTATACATTAAACAGCCCTGCTTGTTTACATTAAACAGTCCTGCTTGTAGATGCATTAGTGCTGCTTGTATACATTAAACAGTCCTGCTTGTATACATTAAACAGTCCTGCTTGTAGATGCATTAGTCCTGCTTGTATACATTAAACAGTCCTGCTTGTAGATGCATTAGTGCTGCTTGTTTACATTAAACAGTCCTGCTTGTTTACATTAAACAGTCCTGCTTGTATACATTAAACAGTCCTGCTTGTAGATGCATTAGTGCTGCTTGTGTACATTAAACAGTCCTGCTTGTAGATGCATTAGTGCTGCTTGTATACATTAAACAGTCCTGCTTGTAGATGCATTAGTGCTGCTTGTTTACATTAAACAGTCCTGCTTGTAGATGCATTAGTGCTGCTTGTTTACATTAAACGGTCCTGCTTGTATACATTAAACAGTCCTGCTTGTAGATGCATTAGTGCTGCTTGTATACATTAAACAGTCCTGCTTGTATATGCATTAGTGCTGCTTGTTTACATTAAACAGTCCTGCTTGTAGATGCATTAGTGCTGCTTGTTTACATTAAACAGTCCTGCTTGTATATGCATTAGTGCTGCTTGTTTACATTAAACAGTCCTGCTTGTTTACATTAAACAGTCCTGCTTGTATATGCATTAGTGCTGCTTGTATACATTAAACAGTCCTGCTTGTATATGCATTAGTGCTGCTTGTTTACATTAAACAGTCCTGCTTGTAGATGCATTAGTGCTGCTTGTATACATTAAACAGTCCTGCTTGTGTTTATTAAACAGTCCTGCTTGTGTTCATTAAACAGCCCTGTCTGTGTTCATGAAACAGTCCTGTTTGTGTTTATTAAAGTCCTGTTTGTGTTCATTAAACAGTCCTGCTTGTGTTTATTAAACAGTCCTGTTTGTGTTCCTTATACAGTCCTGTTTGTGTTCATTAAACAGTCCTGTTTGTGTTCATTAAACAGTCCTGTTTGTGTTTATTAAACAGTCCTGTTTATGCTTATTAAACAGTCCTGCTTGTGTTCATTAAACAGTCCTGCTTGCGTTCATTAAACAGTCCTGTTTGTGTTTATTAAACAGTCCTGTTTGTGTTTATCAAACAGTCCTGTTTATATACATTAAACATTCCTGCTTGTGTATGCATTAGTGAGGCTTGTTTTCATTAAACTGTCCTGATTTTGTATGAGTTAAACAGTCCTGCCTACGTACATTAAACAGCCCTGCTTGTGTATGCATTAGTGCTGCTTGTGTGTACATTAAACTGTTCTCATTTTGAATACATTAAACAGTCCTACTTGTGTATACATTAAACAGTCTTGCTTGTGTATACATTAAACAGTCCTGCTTGAGTATACATAAAACAGTCCTGCTTATGTATACATTAAACAGTTCTGCTTGTGTATACATTAAACAGTTTGACATATAGTGTTTGTTACCAACATATAATGTTTAATGCTGACAAATAATGTTTGTTACTCACATATAATGTTTGATGCTGACATATAGTGTTTGTTACCAACATTTAATGTTTTATTCTGACATATAATGTTTGTTAACCACAAATAGTGTTTTATTGTGACATATGGTGTTTGTTACCCACATACAGTGTTTGATGCTGACGTGTAGTGTTCGTTACCCAAATATAGTGTTTGATGCTGACCTGAAGTGTTTGTTACCTAAATATAGTGTTTGATGCTGACGTGTAGTCATCGTTACCCACATATAGTATTTTATGCTGACACTAGCTGTACCCGGCCACGCGTTGCTGTGGCCCAGAATGGTGAAATAGAAATGAAAGAAAATAGCTCTCAGCTAACAGTGTCTGTCATACCCCCCCCCCCTTTTCCCCCCTTCCTCTCCCATCTTCCTCCCTGAAGGATTGAACAATCTTCCCTGGCAAAAAAAAAATTTCTAAATAGTTAAGAAATGAGAACTTCAATATAATGTTTTAAGCTCTCTCAGTTAATAGTGTCTGGCATCAATCCTTCTTACCCCACCCCCTTCCACCACTAATCATATCATACTCTCTGAAAGGATGGGAAAGTCATCATCTGATGAAATATTGTAAATAAATTGAGCTTGGCATCCGTGTCCACCCAGACTAAAATGGGTAGCATTAATTTGTGCTGAGAAGTACATGTGGCCAGTGTAACAGCTACCACATCACCCATGCAGTACCAGACTACTGCTACCACCACCACAATCACAATAACAACAACAAAAACTTTCACTACAGTATGTGTAGGTGGGTGTAGCCAGAGGAGTTAGCGCCGCATGCTGTCGCCACGGACTGTTTAGTTTAATTTTGCCCCCGACATAGAAAAGAAAAACTGCATCACCTAACCAGTGATGGAACCCACAATTGAGGAGAAAAATACCCCACACACGTCATCTCTCCCTTTTCAAAGGGAGATTTTTAACTGACCTTGGCATCTATGTCCACCCAAACTAAACTGGACTGTGAGCCGTCTTAGTGAACAGTTTCTGTCATTGTCGAATAGTTTTTGACCAAGAAGCATCGCGGGGAGGCTAACTGAGACTTTACTGAAATCGGATGTCTTTGGGGCTGTAAACCACAACAAAATGTGGCAACCACCCTTTTAAGGCAAAAAGAACAATTATCACCCAGCGGGAAATCGAACACCGGTCATCCGGGTTAGGGGTGGAATACTTATAACTTTACTACCGAGCACTGAAGAGTTTGGTCAGATATCGCAGCCTAGCTGTAAACCACAACACAATGTGCCAACGGCCATCTCGAGGGCGAACAAAGACATATAGTGTTTGTTACCAACATTTAGTGTTTGATGCTGACATATAATGTTTTTTTACCAACATTTAGTGTTTGATGCTGACATATAGTGTTTTTTACCCACATATAATGTTTAATGCTGACATATAATGTTTGTTACCCACATTTAGTGTTTGGTGCTGACATATAATGTTTGTTACCAACATTTAGTTAATATGTGACTGAACTAAATTTGCTTTGTTAACTGATCAGACCTCACATATTTATTGTTGGGAAAACTAATCAAATGTCACATATTTATTGTTGTGATAACTTATCTAATGTCACAAATTTATTATTGTGATAACTTATCAAATGTCACAAATTTATTATTGTGATAACTTATCAAATGTCACAAATTTATCATTGTGATAACTTATCAAATGTCACTAATTTATTATTGTGATAACTTATCAAATGTCACAAAATTATTATAGTGATAACTTATCAAATGTCACAAATTTATTATTGTGATAACTTATCAAATGCCAAATATTTTTTTCTGGGGGCAGGTATCGAGCTCCAGAGTGTCTCCTGACTGATGGTCACTATAACTACAAGATGGACATCTGGAGTGTTGGCTGCGTCTTCTTTGAAATCCTAAGGTGGGTGCTAATTCTCTTTAGCAACATTTGTTTGTTGACATTGTCAGACCACCTCATCATCAACATACTTTTCTTCCTCTTAAATATTTATATACAGTACGAATATATCTCATTTCAAGTGCTTTCAGCCTTTATCATTTGTTTAGTTCACCCAGCATCTTTCCACATTCAACTCTGCCTCTACGTACCTGGCGCTTCAGAACTATAAATTCAAAACTTATTTGTGACAGGTCTAACCCAGATGATTTTTTACCCATACAGGTAGATCTGGTTTGAGAGACAGACAAAAATGCATCTGGGTTCATTGGGGCTCATCAACATCGCTTAGTTCAACAAAGCCCAGGATATGATACCATACTATCTAGTTTGAGAATGGAGGTGGAGGCAGTCATGGACACTTTCCGCTGGCATGAAAACCAGCTGCACGCAGGTCATCATTAAAACACACAAAGCATGCTTAGAAAGGCCAGCTCCATGCAAAGTGGCAAGCATTCCTTCAGGGGTCCTTGGTAGTTAGCATCTTAGCATCCTTTGGATTGTTTCTCCGCTGCACCTTGGGAGCAAGAGAACACAATAGAGAAGCATGCATAGATCATTACTGTATAGTAAAATAACAAGATTTACAGTGGAGAATGGGAACACCGTCATGTCAGATAACAGATTTTCCTGGGAGAGAACTCCTCTGTTTAGTCAGATAACAGATCGAGGAGGAGAGAGGTGACAGACAGAGAAAGAGGAGAGAGAGAGAGAGAAAATTCCACCATACAATCAGACATTTACAGGAATGACAAAGAGAACTCCACCAAATAGTCTGAGAGAGAGATATATTAAAAGCAAGAGAACCCCACTGTATAGAAATAAAACTGATCTGTAAGAGTGAAACAGAGAAAGAGAGAGAGTTATTTTGAAAAAGATTTAAAATGAGCCCACTGTGTAGCCAGAAAACATATTTATAGGAAAAAGAGAGAGATAGAGTGAGAGCAAGCTTGGAAGTGAGAAAACCCCACTATGTAGCAAGATAACAGATTTACAGGAAGAAGAGTATTTGAGAAAGAGAAAAAGCACTGCTCTCTAGTCAGATAACAGATTTACTGGAAAAGAGAGAGAGAGAGAGAGACAGAATGGGGAGAAAACTCTTTAGTCAGATAACAGATTTACAGAAGCGAGAGAGAGAGATAGAGCACTATCTAGTCAGATAACAAATATAGAGGAGGGAAAGATAGAAAGCCCCACCTTTAATCAGATAACATGTTTACAGGAGAGAGAGAGAGCGAGGAAGAGGGATAACTACTCTAGTGAGATAACAGATGTACAGGAGAGGTAGAAAGAGGGGGAACTCTACACTGTAGTCAGATAACAGATGTACAGGAGAGGGAGAAAGAGAGGGAACTCTACACTGTAGTCAGATAACAGATGTACAGGAGAGGGAGAAAGAGGGGGAACTCTACACTGTAGTCAGATAACAGATGTACAGGAGAGGGAGAAAGAGGGGAAACTCTACACTGTAGTCAGATAACAGATTTACAGGAGAGGGAGAAAGAGGGGGAACTCTACACTGTAGTCAGATAACAGATTTACAGGAGAGGGAGAAAGAGGGGGAACTCTACACTGTAGGCAGATAACAGATTTACAGGAGAGGGAGAAAGAGAGGGAACTCTACACTGTAGTCAGATAACAGATGTACAGGAGAGGGAGAAAGAGGGGGAACTCTACACTGTAGTTAGATAACAGATTTACAGGAGAGGGAAAGAGAGAGATAAAAAATGAGAGAGGGAGAACTAATATACAGGAGAGAAGGAGAGAAACCCCCATGTAAATCAGATAACATATTTATGAGTAAGAGAGAGAACTCAGGAGAGAACGAATGAACGAACTTTATTTTCAAAGGGTTACAAATTAGGCACGCAGGCCTGTCTTACATTCGGCCCTTCCAAACTTCCATCTTTCACACAGCAGTTGTATTTCATCAATGAAGCATGTTATATTCAAGTAATAATATGCATATTATATATATGAAGTCAAAAACAAAAGCATGGCTGGTAAAATATGTACAAACGCTCACGCGCGAACACACACACCCACATACACACACAAGCCCAATGACTCACTTACACACAAACATATAGGTACTAAGTACACACATACATCCACATACATACGAACATGCACACACACACACATACATACATACATACATACATACATACATACATACATACATACATACATACATACATACATACATACATACATACATACATACATACATACATACATACATACATACATACATACATACATACATACATAAATACATGCATACATACATACATACATGCATACATACATACAAACTCACATAATACATACACACATACATACATACATACATACATACATACATACATACATACATACATACATACATACATACATACATACATACATACATACATACATACATACATACATACATACATACATACATACATACATACATACATACATACATACATACATACATACATACATACATACATACATACATACAAACATACATGCATACATGCATACATGCATACATACATACATACATACATACATACATACATACATACATACATACATACATACATACATGCATGCATGCATGCATGCATGCATACATACATACATACATACATACATACATACATACATACATACATACATACATACATACATACATACATACATACATGCATGCATACATACATACCAACATACATACAAAAACACACACACACACACACACACACACGCACGCACGCGCGCGCACGCACGCACGCACGCACGCACGCACGCACGCACGCACGCACACACACACACACACACACACATATACACATATACACATATACACATATACACACATACACACACACACACATATACACATATACACACACACACATATACACATATACACATATACACATATACACATATACACATATACACATATACACATACACGCATACATGCATACATGCATACATACATACATACATACATACATACATACATACACACACACACACATACACACACACACACATACATACATACATACATACATACAAACATACATGCATACATGCACACACACACACACGCACGCACGCACGCACGCACACACACACACACACACACACACACAGACACATATATATATGTGTCTTATATATATAAAGAGAGAGAGAGGGAGAACTCTACTCTGTAGCCAGATAACAAATATACAGGAGAGAAAACCCTACCATGTAGTCTGATAACAAGTGTACATGAGAGAGAGGGTGAGAAAGAGGGAGAACTCTCTCTGTCTCCGTCTCTGTCTCTGTCTCTGTCTCTGTCTCTCTCTCTCTCTCTCACTCTCTCTCTCTCTCTCTCTCTCTCTCTCTCTCTCTCTCTTTCTCTCTCTCTCTCTCTCTCTCTCTCTCTCTCTCTCTCTCTCTCTCTCTCTCTCTCTCTCTCTCTCAAGTCAGTTAACAGATTTACAAGACTGAGAAAACTCCTGCAATCCTCATAATTGTTGTAAGCTGAACTGACTTCAATATTTAAGTTTGTCTGTTCAGAGGCATCATTACCTATGCCAGTCATCAAGGTACTTGATGATGATGATGATGACAAAGCGAGTACAAAAAGTCCTGAATACTTTAAGTTTGTGAGACATATGTTTCTAGAGACTCACCAGTAATAGCAGCCTACATGGGTATTCTGAGACATATGTTTCTAGAGACTCACCAGTAATAGCAGCCTACACAGGTATTCTGAGACATATGTTTCTAGAAACTCACCAGTAATAGCAGCCTACACGGGTATTCTGAGACACATGTTTCTAGAGACTCACCAGTAATAGTAGCCTACACGGGTATTCTGAGACATATGTTTCTAGAGACTCACCAGTAATAGCAGCCTACACGGGTATTCTGAGACATATGTTTCTAGAGACTCACCGATAACAGTGGTCTCCATGGATATTGTAAAATCATGTCAAAGTCAGTGTGCCTCTCAGTCATTGAGATAGGTCGGACGTGTTATGTGATAGTTGTTCTTCACAATGTGTTTTATTTTATTCTGTTGGAGTGCATAGTCTGTTCAGTGGAATATGGTGTATAAATCTGAATGCTGCCAATGATGATAGTTATGGAGATAAGATGACAAGATCCAGAAAATTTATCTGACTTGCGAGTCTTTTGATAGTAGCACCCATTGTCTGCTTCCCCTCAGGTCAGCCTGGCTTATACAGCGATGATTCAGGTTGTAGACTACTGGTGACCCCAGGAGTGGGCACACAGGCGAGTGGGTCTGTTGTAGGCTACTGGTGACCCCAGGAAAGGGCATAAAGGCGAGTGGGTCTGTTGTAGGCTACTGGTGACCCCAGGAGTTAGCACATAGGGGAGTAGGTCTGTTGTAGGCTACTGGTGACCCCAGGAGTTAGCACATAGGGGAGTAGGTCTGTTGTAGGCTACTGGTGACCCCAGGAGTTAGCACATAGGGGAGTAGGTCTGTTGTAGGCTACTGGTGACCCCAGGAGAGGGCACATAAGCAAGTGGGTCTGTTGTAGGCTACTGGTGACCCCAGGAGAGGGCACATAAGCAAGTGGGTCTGTTGTAGGCTACTGGTGACCCCAGGAGTTAGCACACAGGCGAGTGTGTCTGTTGTAAGCTACTGGTGACTCCAGGAGTGGGCACATAGGCGAGTGGGTCTGTTGTAGGCTACTGGTGACTCCAGGAGTTAGCACATAGGCAAGTGGGTCTTTTGTAGGCTACTGATGACTCCAGGAGTGGGCACATAGGAGAATGGGTCTGTTGTAAGCAACTGGTGACTTCAGGAGTGGGCACATGGGCAAGTGGATCTGTTGTAGCCTACTGATGACTCCAAGAGTTAGCACATAGGCAAGTGGGTCTGTTGTAGGCTACTGGTGACTTCAGGAGTGGGCACATAAGCAAGTGGGTCTGTTGTAGGCTACTGGTAACCCCAGGAGTGGGCACATAAGCAAGTGGGTCTGTTGTAGGCTACTGGTAACCCCAGGAGTGGGCACATAGGCGAGTGGGTCTGTTGTAGGCTACTGGTAACCCCAGGAGTGGGCACATAGGCGAGTGGGTCTGTTGTAGGCTACTGGTAACCCCAGGAGTGGGCACATAGGCGAGTGGGTCTGTTGTAGGCTACTGGTGAAACCCGGGAGTGGGCTCATAGGCGAGTGGGTCTGTTGTAGGCTACTGGTAACCCCTGGAGTGGGCACATAGGCGAGTGGGTCTGTTGTAGGCTACTGGTGAAACCCGGGAGTGGGCTCATAGGCGAGTGGGTCTGTTGTAGGCTACTGGTAACCCCTGGAGTGGGCACATAGGCGAGTGGATCTGTTGTAGGCTACTGGTGACCCCAGGAGTGGGCTCATAGGGGAGTGGGTCTGTTGTAGGCTACTGGTGACCCTAGGAGAGGGGCCCTAGGCTAGGTACCACCTTTTGTGATGGTGCCACCTTTGGAATCCATTGATGTTTATCCTTGGCAAAATTTAATAGATGAACAGCATTCAAATAGATGGATGGCATTCAGTCATTTTGACACCAGTTCATCATCTTAATATGTCTGTCGATGAATAAACTAGACCGATTGTACTTACAGTACACACTTGGAGCGATATATGATAGTGCTCTAGACAGTATTTTTGGTTAGATGTCACCTTTGTGTACCTGTGCTACCTCAGTATTCTACAGTGGGGAACCCAGTAGTTGTTGTCGTTGTATTATCTAGCAAGCTTTTGTATGGGACTGAAGCAAGCCATACACCTCTATTGTATGGGACTGGAGCAAGTCATACGCCGCAATTGTATGAGACTGGAGCAAGTCATACACCTCTCTTGTATGGGACTGGAGCAAGTCATACACCTCTCTTGTATGGGACAGGAGTAAGTCATACACCTCTCTTGTATGGGACTGGAGCAAGTCATACACCTCTCTTGTATGGGACTGGAGCAAGTCATACACCTCTCTTGTATGGGACAGGAGCTAATCATACACCTCTCTTGTATGGGACAGGAGCTAATCATACACCTCTCTTGTATGGGACTGGAGCAAGTTATACACCTCTCTTGTATGGGACTGGAGCAAGTCATACACCTCTCTTGTATGGGACAGGAGCTAATCATACACCTCTCTTGTATGGGACAGGAGCTAATCATACACCTTTCTTGTATGGGACAGGAGCTAATCATACACCTCTCTTGTATGGGACAGGAGCTAATCATACACCTCTCTTGTATGGGACTGGAGTAAGTTATACACCTCTCTTGTATGGGACAGGAGCTAATCATACACCTCTCTTGTATGGGACTGGAGTAAGTTATACACCTCTCTTGTATGGGACAGGAGCTAATCATACACCTCTCTTGTATGGGACTGGAGTAAGTTATACACCTCTCTTGTATGAGACTGGAGCTAATCATACACCTCTCTTGTATGGGACTGGAGCAAGTTATACAACTCTCTTGTATGGGACTGGAGCAAGTTATACAACTCTCTTGTATGGGACTGGAGCAAGTTATACACCTCTCTTGTATGGGACTGGAGCAAGTTATACACCTCTCTTGTATGGGACTGGAGCAAGTTATACAACTCTCTTGTATTAGACAGGAGTTAATCATGCACCTCTCTTGTATGAGACTGGAGCAAGTCATGCACCTCTCTTGTATGGGACCGGAGCAAGTCATACACCTCTCTTGTATGGGACTGGAGCAAGTCATACACCTCTCTTGTATGGGACAGGAGCTAATCATACACCTCTCTTGTATGAGACCGGAGCAAGTCATACACCTCTCTTGTATGGGACCGGAGCAAGTCATACACCTCTCTTGTTTGGGACTGGAGCAAGTCATACACCTCTGTTGTATGGGACTGGAGCAAGTCATACACCTCTTTTGTATGGGACAGGAGCAAATCATACACTTCTCTTGTAAGGGACAGGAGCAAATCATACACCTCTCTTGTATGAGACTGGAGCTAATCATACACCTCTCTTGTATGAGACAGGAGCAAGTCATACACCTCTCTTGTATGGGACTGGAGCAAGTCATACATCTCTCTTGTGTGGGACAGGAGCTAATAATACACCTCTCTTGTATGGGACAGGAGCTAATCATACACCTCTCTTGTATGGGACAGGAGCTAATCATACACCTCTCTTGTATGGGACAGGAGCTAATCATACACCTCTCTTGTATGAGACTGGAGCTAATCATACACCTCTCTTGTATGGGACAGGAGCTAATCATACACCTCTCTTGTATGGGACAGGAGCTAATCATACACCTCTCTTGTATGGGACAGGAGCTAATCATACACCTCTCTTGTATAGGACTGGAGCAAGTCATACACCTCTCTTGTATGAGACTGGAGCTAATCATACACCTCTCTTGTATGGGACTGGAGCAAGTTATACACCTCTCTTGTATGGGAGAGGAGCTAATCATACACCTCTCTTGTATGGGACTGGAGCAAGTCATACACCTCTCTTGTATGGGACAGGAGCTAATCATACACCTCTCTTGTATGGGACAGGAGCTAATCATACACCTCACTTGTATAGGACTGGAGCAAGTCATACACCTCTCTTGTATGAGACTGGAGCTAATCATACACCTCTCTTGTATGGGACTGGAGCAAGTTATACACCTCTCTTGTATGGGAGAGGAGCTAATCATACACCTCTCTTGTATGGGACTGGAGCAAGTCATACACCTCTCTTGTATGGGACAGGAGCTAATCATACACCTCTCTTGTATGGGACTTGAGCAAGTCATATACCCTTGATACTTGGTAGGATGCATAGCCACATAAAGCACCTTACAATTATATATTTACTGAAAAGACAACTCTGTTGCATTGTTTGAACGAACAAATAAATGAACAAATGGACGAACAAACAAACTTTATTTTCAGATGGTCACAAATTGGGCAAGCAGGCCCATCTCACATTCAGCCCTTTGAAGCACCTGCCTTTCACACAGCCTGTTGTATTTTATCAATACAGCATGTTATGTTTGTATAATAATATGATAATCATGAAAAACAAAAGCAAGTGTGGTTAAATGCATGCAAACGCTCATGTGCACACTCGCACCCACATACAGGCTCCACTCACTTACACACGCACACCCACATACAAACATACATGATACATACCCATATGAATATGGTAGTATGAGAGGACATTTCTTTTTCTGATGTAGGTATTCGTGTACTTATTTGTTGACTTTTTTTTTTCTTGACACTTTCATTACAAGTTGAGAATGATTTTACTGCAAACAACATATATGCATTTAAACTCTGCAGCCTGCATCCGATGTTTCCTGGCGTCAATGAGGTGGATCAGATCAGCAAAATTCATGATCTCCTAGGCAGTCCAGCTCCAAGTGTTTTGAATAAATTTAAAAGGTAAATCTAAGTTGCCAAATCATCACACATGGTTCCTTCATCTGTAGCAATAGCAGTCAAGGTTTAAACTTCACTACAATTGGGTTACCCTATAATTTGTATTTGTTTTGTTGTACATAATTTGATTTCTTCACTAGATGGTTCTCCGTCTGTCTTATTCTGTGTGCTGTGATTGCTTCATTACTGGTTCTCTGTTTTATTGTACATGTTGTGATTGCTTCATTACTGGTTCTCTGTTTTATTGTACATGCTGTGGTTGCTTCATTACTGGTTATCTGTTTTATTGTACATGCTGTGATTGCTTCATTACTGGTTCTCTGTTTTATTGTACATGCTGTGATTGCTTCATTACTGGTTCTCTGTTTTATTGTACATGCTGTGATTGCTTCATTACTGGTTATCTGTTTTATTATACATGCTGTGATTGCTTCATTACTGGTTCTTTGTTTTATTGTACATGCTGTGATTGCTTCATTACTGGTTCTCTGTTTTATTGTACATGCTGTGATTGCTTCATTACTGGTTCTCTGTTTTATTGTACATGCTGTGATTGCTTCATTACTGGTTCTCTGTTTTATTGTACATGCTGTGATTGCTTCATTACTGGTTCTCTGTTTTATTGTACATGCTGTGATTGCTTCATTACTGGTTCTCTGTTTTATTGTACATGCTGTGATTGCTTCATTACTGGTTCTCTGTTTTATTGTACATGCTGTGATTGCTTCATTACTGGTTCTCTGTTTTATTGTACATGCTGTGATTGCTTCATTACTGGTTATCTGTTTTATTGTACATGCTGTGATTGCTTCATTACTGGTTCTCTGTTTTATTGTACATGCTGTGATTGCTTCATTACTGGTTCTTTGTTTTATTGTACATGCTGTGATTGCTTCATTACTGGTTCTCTGTTTTATTGTACATGCTGTGATTGCTTCATTACTGGTTCTCTGTTTTATTGTACATGCTGTGATTGCTTCACTAGATAGTTCTGTATCTGTTTTATTGTACATGCTGTGATTGCTTCACTAGATGGTTCTGTATCTGTTTTATTGTACATGCTGTGATTGCTTCATTACTGGTTCTCTGTTTTATTGTACATGCTGTGATTGCTTCATTACTGGTTCTCTGTTTTATTGTACATGCTGTGATTGCTTCATTACTGGTTCTCTGTTTTATTGTACATGCTGTGATTGCTTCATTACTGGTTATCTGTTTTATTGTACATGCTGTGATTGCTTCACTAGATGGTTCTGTATCTGTTTTATTGTACATGCTGTGATTGCTTCATTACTGGTTATCTGTTTTATTGTACATGCTGTGATTGCTTCACTAGATGGTTCTGTATCTGTTTTATTGTACATGCTGTGATTGCTTCACTAGATGGTTCTGTATCTGTTTTATTGTACATGCTGTGGTTGCTTCATTACTGGTTATCTGTTTTATTGTACATGCTGTGATTGCTTCATTACTGGTTCTCTGTTTTATTGTACATGCTGTGATTGCTTCATTACTGGTTCTCTGTTTTATTGTACATGCTGTGATTGCTTCATTACTGGTTCTCTGTTTTATTGTACATGCTGTGATTGCTTCATTACTGGTTCTCTGTTTTATTGTACATGCTGTGATTGCTTCATTACTGGTTCTCTGTTTTATTGTACATGCTGTGATTGCTTCATTACTGGTTCTCTGTTTTATTGTACATGCTGTGATTGCTTCATTACTGGTTCTCTGTTTTATTGTACATGCTGTGATTGCTTCATTACTGGTTATCTGTTTTATTGTACATGCTGTGATTGCTTCATTACTGGTTATCTGTTTTATTGTACATGCTGTGATTGCTTCACTAGATGGTTCTGTATCTGTTTTATTGTACATGCTGTGATTGCTTCATTACTGGTTCTCTGTTTTATTGTACATGCTGTGATTGCTTCATTACTGGTTCTCTGTTTTATTGTACATGCTGTGATTGCTTCATTACTGGTTCTCTGTTTTATTGTACATGCTGTGATTGCTTCACTAGATGGTTCTGTATCTGTTTTATTGTACATGCTGTGATTGCTTCACTAAGTGGTTGGTTCTTTGTTTTATAGTACATGATGTAATTGCTTCACTAGTTGGTTCTCATTCTCTCACTGTTTTATTGTACATGCTGTGATAGCTTCACTGGATGATTCTCTCTTTTTTTGTAGATACTGTGACTGCTTCGCTATATGTTTCTCTATCTGTTTTATAGTACCTGCTGTAATTGCTTCACTAGTTTGTTCTCATTCTCTCTCTGTTTTATTGTACATGATGTGATTGCTTCACTAGATGGTTCTCTCTTTTATTGTAGATGCAGTGATTGCTTCACTAGATGTTTATCTGTTTGATAGTAAATGCTGTGACTGCTTTACTAGATGGTTCTCTCTTTTTGTAGTACACTGTGTGATTGCTTCACTAGGTAATGGATTCTAAAACTTTTGTGGCCGCAGCACTCTTGTTGGGCTACAATAATTTTGCGGCATACCTACACATAAAGTAGTTAAATTCTTAGGAAAAGAAGAAAAAATAGTGCACATTTAGTGTTCAGTTGTCTTTAATGTGATGAATGAAACTGTTTTGAATTTTGCATTATATCCTTTTCATTTTTATAAATTCTCTCCATCATGGATGATCCTGGATTTCGATGATTTCTTAACCTCTGTGAACTAAATCAGAATGATTGCATTCCAGACGACTCTTTAATTTGGACCTAACCAAGTAGTTGTTGGCAACACTTCTGTGGCACTTAACGCTTTGCCCTTCTGGTACCTTTTCATTCCCAACCGAAACGAAGCCAAACAAAGTGAGGGTTGCTAGGATCATATTTTCTTAGTTTTCCTTGGATTTTCTTTTGTTCGTGAGTTGTCTTTCCACAAACTGAGACAGGCCAGCTTGGATGGCTTAGGCTGGCAGCTGTCTGCTGAGACAATGTAACTGACTTATCAAATGTCCCCTAATGAATGCAGGTAGAGGAACGGTCGCATCTTCAGATAAATACAACGATAATCTTAGCACGTTGCGCTTGGCATTTTATGCCGTACGAAAAACGTCTTAGTATGAAATAAACTATAAACTCTTTTCGACAGTTTCGAGGGAAGACAACTTATATATTAACTCTTCAGTATGCGCATGCCTTCTTTAATAGTTTCACAATGTTTAGCCGACTTTTGTTGATTACTGCCTCAGCACCCCTGGCATAAGCTCACGGCACCCGAGTTTGAAAACCTCTGCACTAGATGATTCTCTCTTTTATTGTACATGCTGTGATTGCTTCAATAGATGGTTCTCTATCTGTTTTATTTTTCATATTGTGATTGCTTCACTAGATGTCTCTCTCTTTCTCTCTCTCTCTCTCTCTCTCTCTCTCTCTCTCTCTCTCTGAGTTGTATTGTACATGCAGTGATTGCTTGACTAGATGTTTCTCATGCTGTGATTGCTTCACTAGATGTTTCTCTCTGTGTTTTAATAAAGTAAATGCTGTGATTGCTTCACTAGATAGTTCTTGTTCTCTATCTGTTGTACATGCTGTGACTGCTTCACTAGATATTTCTCTATCTGTTCTATTGTACATGTTATGATTTGCTTCACTTGATAGTTTTATGCCTGTTTTATTGTACATGTTGTGATTGCTTCTCTATCTGTTTTGTAGTACATAATGTGATTGCTTTACTAGATGGTTCTGTGTCTGTTTTTATAGTATATGCTGTGATTGCTTCACTAGATATTTCTCTATCTGTATTGCTGTCAATAAAACATCCTATATGGTAGGCAAATGGTGTTGCTGTCAGATAATACATCCAGGTTTTTTGGGTGTTCTGTGTTACTTTGGTAGCATTAGTTTTAAATTACCATTTACATTTTCATCGATTAGTGATAGGGAAGGCAGGGGGAATATATCGACTTGTGAATTACTGGTTATTACCCCTGAGTATACTCATCATTGCATCCCATGATAATGGTAAGTTCCTGACTTTTCAGGTCACGAGGAATGACCTTTAACTTTCCATACAAGAAAGGCTCTGGTATCGAGAGTGTGCTGACTCATGTCTCCATTGAAGCCATTCAGTTGATTTGTTTGATGTGCACATACGATCCAGATGAAAGAATCACAGCACACCAAGCACTGAAGCATGTCTATTTCCACAACCAGAGGTGAGACATTACTTGTATATCACACCAAGCACTGAAGCATGTCTATTTCCACAACCAGAGGTGAGACATTACTTGTATATCACACCAAGCACTGAAGCATGTCTATTTCCACAACCAGAGGTGAGACATTACTTGTATATCACACCAAGCACTGAAGCATGTCTATTTCCACAACCAGAGGTGAGACATTACTTGTATATCACACCAAGCACTGAAGCATGTCTATTTCAACAACCAGAGGTGAGACATTACTTGTATATCACACCAAGTACTGAAGCATGTCTATTTCCACAACCAGATGTAAGACATTACTTGTATATCACACCAAGCACTGAAGCATGTCTATTTCAACAACCAGAGGTGAGACATTACATGTATATCACACCAAGCACTGAAGCATGTCTATTTCCACAACCAGAGGTGAGACATTACTTGTATATCACACCAAGCACTGAAGCATGTCTATTTCCACAACCAGAGGTGAGACATTACTTGTATATCACACCAACCATTTTATGGTGCAAAGTATTGCACCAGGTGAAATCTGCACTGAAATGTTGCACTACTTGAAATATGCACTAAAATGTTGCACCATTTGAATTATGCACTGAAATGTTGCACTAGGTAAAATATGTACTAAAAAGTTGAACCAGATGAAATATGCACTTACATGTGGCACATTTGAAATATGCAGTGAAATAATGCACCAGGTTAAATATGCACTGAACTGTTGCACCGGGTGAAATATGCAATGCAATGTTGCACAGGGTTATATTTGCACTGAAATGTTACACAATGTAAAACATTAACTGAATTATTGCACCAGCTGAACTATGCAATGTAAGAGATGATCTAAACAAGGAACAGTATGATGCCCTAAACATCGGTGGTCATGAAATACCAGAAATTCGTTATGCTGATGATACAGTATTACTATCAACATCACAAAATGGTTTAGAAAACTTATTAACCTCACTCCAAAGAAATAGTGAAAATCATAACTTATTTCTTAACATAGCAAAAACAAAGATAATGCATACAAACAAAACTGCCATGGAGAAGGAAATATATGTTAATGAGGAAAGATTGGAAGTGGTGGAAAATTTCGAATATCTTGGGTCACTGGTTACCAACAATGGTGACACAATGAAAGAAATTAAACGGCGACTATCAATTGCTCTTCAAAGACTAAAACAACTGAAAAAATTATGGAATTGTACAGATAGAATTACAAAGGTCAGATTTTTAAGAGCATGCATCTTTCCCATTGCAACATACGCCTGTGAGACCTGGACACTTACTAAACAAGCGGAACAGCGCATAAATGCATTTGAATATAAATGTTACAGACAGGTTCTAAGAATATCTTGGGTAAAGAAAAGAACAAATGCATCCATACTTCAAGAGCTGAATATTGAAGAGGGTTGGCTAGTAAAGACAATAAAACAAAGAAAATTGAAATATTTTGGTCACTTGAAACGTCATGGAAGTCTAGAGAGAACAATAATGGAGGGGTAAATGCCTGGGAAGAGAGGAAGAGGAAGGCCAAGGAGAAGATGGGTGCAGGATGTGGCAGATGATCTCCAGATGGGTGTATCAGACGCAGGACATCTTGCTCAGGATAGGAAGGTTTTCCGGAGGGTTGTTATGGCAGCGAGGTTCCGCGAGGGACATGCTACTGAATGAATGAATGAACTATGCACTCAGAATAATACACCGTAAGAAATATTTACTGAAATACTGCACAATTGAAATTTGCACTGAAATTTTGCTCCAGGTAAAAAGTGCACTAAAGTTTTGCAGCAGGTGAAATATGCAAGAAATTTTGCACCAGGTGAATTATGCAATGAAATGTTATATCAAGTGAAATATGATCTGAAATGTTGCACTAGGTGAAATATACACCAAAATGTTGCACCAAGTGAAATGTCCAATGAAATGTTGCATGGGTTAAATATGCACTGAAATGTTGCATTAGATGAATTATATACTGACATTTTGCACCAGGATAAATATGCACTGAAATGTTGCACCAGGAAAAAATTACACTGAAATGCACCAGGTAAAATGTGCAGTGAAATTTTGCACCAGGTGAAATATGCAATGAAATGTTACATCAGGTGAAATATGATCTGAAATGTTGTACCAGGTTAAATATACACCGAAATGTTGCACCAAGTGAAATATCCAATGAAATGCATGGGTTAAATATGCACTGAAATGTTGCATTAGACGAATAAGGCACTAAAATGTTGCACCAGGTGAAATATGCACTGAAATTGTGCACAGTATAATTATGCACTGAAATTTTGCACCAGGAAAAATTACACTGAAATGTTGCACCAGGTGAAATGTGCAATGAAATGTTACACAAGGTGAAATATGCACCAAAGTGTTGCAGCGATTGAATTATGCACACCAAAGTGTTGCACTAGATGAAATATGCACTGAAATGTTGCAGTAGGTGAATTATGCATCAAAGTGTTGCACTAGGTGAAATATGTACTTAAATGTTGCATCAGTTAAAAAATGCAATGAAATGTTGTACCAGTTTAATATGCTCTGAAATGTTACACCAGTAGAATTCTTTGCTGTAGGGAATGTTGCGCCTGTTGAAATGCTTTGCTGTGTGAAATGTTGCGGTAGGTTGTTGTGCACTGAATTAACTCTTTAAAGCACAATCAACGGTGTGAGCGTTGATTGAGAAGTTCCATTTTGCCCAAACAATGCTGTCATCGTCTATCGTGTGTCCCGTACATTTTGCTTCACAGGTAGCTCCATACTTGTTTCTAATGTTTGGAACTGCAGTTTAACTATTCAGGAAAAGTTACTCTACCAAAATCCTTTTAGCTACATTCCTTATCCTAAGCCATACGTGCACAGATTGTTCGGATTCATAAATTTTTTTCAACAGTGCATTTTATGTTTGTTTTCGAGTGCCATGAATACCAATGTTCCAACCACAAGTACAGGTTGCTGAATACGTCTTTCTGCGGCCGAAGCTCTGAAACTGTTTCAGTCCGGTGTTTTTAATTCAGATAATGATAATGAAAATTTAGATTTTTGGGAGAGTAATTTATACAGTGAGTTTTCACCAGCAAAGCTGAACAATCAGCTGTTGGGAACCTAACGATTCTGATAAGTTTACACAGATAATGTCCCATTGCTACCGTATTTATGATGTAAGAAAGGGAAAGTGCTCCAAACAAAGAGACAGTACTATGCTATAGCTAAGCTACATTAAAATAATTGCAGCTACTGTCTGTATATAACTGTACAAAGTAAATAGTAAATAGTATGTGTGTAACTGCCTATTTTTCTGCAATTTTTTTCTCTGAAATTTTGCTCAGCACTCTGTGAGAACTAAGAGCTCCTGAGTGTTAAACTAACCCAGAAACTTAACAAAACTTTGGAATTTGTTAGGAAATTCAACAAACCTTGAAGTTTTGTTCTCAAATTTGGATATTGACTACTCTTGTGGCTGCAAAACCATGGTAAATAAAGAATTTGTTTGTAAAATGTTGTTGTTGTGAAATTAACACATGCTGAAATCTTCTTTTTTTCCTACTACCTATAACAAAATTAAACATACACTTATCATCAGATTCAAAATGTACATTTATTTTTTTTTTTTCTTAAAAAAAAAAAAAAAAAACATATTTTTTAGGGATTAGAGGTATATTACATTCTCTATTGCCTTTCATGTACACCACCCCCTCTACCATTTTTGTAAAGGGAATTATTGTTGGCCAAGTCTGTCCAAATACATGGGCCTGAAAGAGTTAATGCACCATGTGAAGTCTAGCGCAGCCTAATAAATGTTGAAATATTTCAGCTTGAGAAATGTTGCACTATATGAAATATTTCAGCTTGAGAAATGTTGCACTATATGAAATATTTTTGCTTGAGAAATGTTGCACTATATGAAATATTTTTCCTTGAGAAATGTTGCACTATATGAAATATTTTAGCTTGAGAAATGTTGCACTATTTAAAATATTTTAGCTTGAGCAATGTTGCACTGTATGAAATATTTTAGCTTGAGAAATGTTGCACTGTATGAAGTATTTTAGCTTAAGAAATATTGCACTATATGAAATATTTTAGCTTGAGAAATGTTGCACTATATGAAATATTTTAGCTTGAGAAATGTTGCACTGTATGAAATATTTTAGCTTGAGAAATGTTGCACTATATGAAATATTTTAGCTTGAGAAATATTGCACTGTATTAAATATTTTAGCTTGAGCAATGTTGCACTGTATGAAATATTTTAGCTTGAGAAATGTTGCACAGTATGAAATATTTTAGCTGGAGACATTATGTTATATTGTTCATATGATGTTAGTCATGGTCATGTGCTGTTAAGAAATAAACTTACTGGTGATGTATGTACTGTTGTGGCATGTGCTGTTTGGAGAAGAATCTTTGAGACATATACTTTTGGGAATAAACTGTTGAAGCATGTACTGTAGGAATATGTTTTGTTAGTGCAAGTACTGTTGGGGCATTACTGTTGGGACATGTACTGTTTAGGCATCTACTGTTAAGACACGTTCTGTTGAAGCGTGTACTGTAGGAATATGTATTGTTAGGGCATGTACTGTTGGGGCATGTACTGTTGGGGCATGTACTGTTGGGACATGAACTGTTGCAGCATGTACTGTAGGTACTGTATTATTGGGGCATATACTGTTGCAGCATGTATTGTAGGTATATTTTATGTTGCAGCATGTATTGTAGGTATATTTTATGTTGGAGCATGTATTGTAGGTATATTTTATGTTGGAGCATGTACTGTAGGTATATGTTCTGTTGGAGCAAGTACTGTTGGGGCATATACTGTTGCAGCATGTACTGTAGGTACTGTATTGATGGGGCATATACTGTTGCAGCATGTACAGTTGGGGCAAGTACTGTTGGGACATGTACTATTGTGGCATGTATGGTTGTGGCATGTACTGTTGGTGCATGTACTGTTGTGGCATGTACTGTTGGTGCATGTACTGTTGCAGCATGTACTGTTGGAGCAGGTACTATTGGGGGCATGTACTGTTGGTGCATGTACTGTTGGGGCATGTACAGTTGCAACATGTACTGTTGTGGCATGTACTGTTGTGACATGTACTATTGTGGCATGTACTGTTGTGACATGTACTGTTGGTGCATGTACTATTCGGGCATGTACTGTTGGGGCATGTACTGTTCGGCAAGTGCTGTAGGTATGTGTATTGTTGGGGCATGTACTGTTGGAATATGTAACATTGGATGTGTACTTTTAAAAAGTGCATTGTGCTTTATGATGTTGTGTACATAGCTGTATATAATTTCTTAGTTACAGGAAATGTGACATCATGTGTATTTATTGTATTCATAGAATTGATCAAATGGAAGCCTACTCGTCGGCACAGCCAAAGTTAGACACAGCATTGATGAGTCCAGGAGATGACCTGAAGATTTCTGAAGCAATTATACAACTGGACCAAGATCCCTCCTCACCACTGAAAGCACGAATGACAGAAATTACAATGTATCCAAGACTTCCGAAAGCTCAGTCTCATCCATCACATCCATTTATAAACAGAAGAGTGGTATGTTGGATGACACCTACTTACTGTAGCTAGTATAGATGTTCACAGTTACTGTAGCTAGTATAGATGTTCACAGTTACTGTAGCTGGTGACAGTGTCCACAGTTACATACTATAGCTAGTATATGTGTGAATGGTTAATGTAGCTTTTGTCAGTTTCCATAGTTACTGTAGCTAGTGTCAGTGTCCACAGTTACTGTAGCTAGTGTCAGTGTCCACAGCTACTGTAGCTAGTGTCAGTGTCCACAGCTACTGTAGCTGGTGACAGTGTCCACAGTTACATACTATAGCTAGTATATGTGTGAATGGTTAATGTAGCTTTTGTCAGTTTCCATAGTTACTGTAGCTAGTGTCAGTGTCCACAGTTACTGTAGCTAGTGTCAATGTCCTCAGTTACATACTATAGCTAGTATATGTGTGAATGGTTAATGTAGCTTTTGTCAGTTTCCATAGTTACTGTAGCTAGTGTCAGTGTCTACAGCTACTGTAGCTGATGTCAATGTCCGCAGTTACATACTATAGCTAGTATATGTGTGAATGGTTATTGTAATCAGTGTCCGCAGTTACTGTAGCTAGTGTCAGTGTCCACAGTTATCGTAGCTAGTGTCAATATTCACGGTTAAGTTAGCTAATGACAATGTCCACAGTGATTGTTGATAGTTACAGTGTCCACATTTACTGTTGCTAGTGTCAGTGTCCACATTTACTGTTGCTAATTTCAATGTCCACATTTACTGTTGCTAGTGTCAGTGGCCACAGTTACTGTGGCTAGTGTCAGTGGCCACAGTTACTCTAGCTAGTGTCAGTGGCCACAGTTACTCTAGCTAGTGTTAATGTCCATGGTTAAAGTGGCTAATGTCAGTACAACAATTACTGTAGCTAACATCAGTGTCCAGAGTTACTGTAGCTGGTGTCAATGTCGACATTTACTGTAGCTATCATCAATGTCCATAGTTAAAGTACCTAACGTCAATGTTCACAATTACAGTAGCTAGTGTCAGTGTTCACAGTTACTGTAGCTGATGTCAGTGTCCACTGTTATTATAGATAGTGTCAGTATCTGCAGTTAGTGTAGCTAATGTCAGTGTCCACAGTTACTGTAGCTAATGTCCCCACAGCTACTGTAGCTAATGTCAATAGTTTATTTTAACTAATGTCAGTGTCCACAGTTACTGTACCTAATGGCAGTGTCCACAGGGACTGTAGCTAATGTCATTGTCCACAGTTACTGTAGCTAATGTCAGTGTCCACACTTACTGTAGCTAGTGTCAGTGTCCACAGTTACTGTAGCTAATGTCTGTGTCCACACTTACTGTAGCTAATGTCAGTGTCCACACTTACTGTAGCTAATGTCAGTGTCCACACTTACTGTAGCTAATGTCAGTGTCCACACTTACTGTAGCTAATGTCAGTGTCCACACTTACTGTAGTTAATGTCAGTGTCCACACTTACTGTAGTTAATGTCAGTGTCCACACTTACTGTAGTTAATGTCAGTGTCCACACTTACTGTAGCTAATGTCAGTGTCCACACTTACTGTAATTAATGTCAGTGTCCACACTTACTGTAGTTAATATCAGTGTCCACACTTACTGTAGTTAATGTCAGTGTCCACACTTACTGTAGCTAATATCAGCGTAAACAGTGACTGTAGCTAATGTCAGCAGGAAAGAAAAGGAAAGTCAGGAGATGTGAACCATAAGTGCTCTGCCACCAGTACCGACAGCTGATATGAAACTGTCCGCCTGTTTCTCCATTTACCGCAGAGTGTTAATTCTGGTACCCATTTCCTAGAGGCTGTGTAAACCCCGGGAACCATCCGGTTGCGAACACCGGTCGTGGGCTGCAGTGAGTCACCTATCAACTGCGCTAATGCAGCCCCGCAGCTAATGTCAGTGTCCACAGTTACTGTAGCTAGTGTCAGTGTTCAGAGTTGCTGCAGCGAGTGTTAGTGTCCACTGTTACTGTAGCTAAAGTCAGTGTCCACAGTTACTGTAGCTAGTGTCAGTGTCCACTGTTACTGTAGCTAAAGTCAGTGTCTACAGTTACCGTAACTAGTGTCAGTGTATCTACTTGTCTGTGTATGTTCACTTGCATCTACTTGACTATGTATGTGTATCTACTTGACTTATGTGTATCTACTTGACTATGTGTGTGTATCTACTTGACTATGTATGTGTATCTTCTTGACTATGTATGTGTATCTACTTGACTATGTATGTGTATCTACTTGACTATGTATGTGTATCTACTTGACTATGTATGTGTATCTACTTGACTATGTATGTGTATCTACTTGACTATGTATGTATATCTACTTGACTATGTATGTTCTTGTGCATCTACTTGACTATGCATGTTTGTTTTACTATTTTATCTTTCACATTCCCCAAGCTCAGTCAGATGTGTCTAAATGGAACAAAGTAAATACGACAATGTTTGTATGTTTATAATGTTTAACAACATGACCAATGATCCAACAAATCTAATGCAATTAAGTTTGTTTATTATAAAACCCAGTGTCATTCCAAGTTTAATAATTGCTTTCTATTTGGTTTACTCTCAGCCATACAGTAAACTCTTATGTTCACCTGCTACCATGCCTGCCGACCACCCAGCTCAACATTCCTGGACTTACTGCCCTCCTCGTTCTCCTTCTCTCCTTGTTTACCACTTCCTTTTTATTTTATTATCTTTTTTTTAACAAAGCCCAAGCGATTTCTCCCCCCCCCCCCCCCACTGTCATCCTGTTTACCTCCATCATCCCCCTTTTCCTGTTGGTCCCATCTGATCTCAAGCCTGGCATACCCTGCATCCTTGATTCATGGTCAGATGTCTCCCTGTCCGAGGGCAAGATTAATTTCTTGTATCTGGTTTAACCAGCTTTTTAACCTAGGTTGCTGGCAGGCAGGCTACCATACCATTCAGTAATGGACTGGAGTTTGGAGTTGATGCTTATCTCAGTGCATACATTCTTTAGTGCTTCCCACAATCTCCCCTTATTTCACTTTCCCACATATATGCCCTATATTTGTGTGGCGAAATCTCAAGTTATCAAGAAGCCAGCGAAACTTCCCAAATGTCTGCTAAATGTGCTCTTATCACTAGCATCCTTGGACATAGGGATACTCAAAAAACCCGATCTCGTGTCCAGGGTCGAAAAATATGTTGACTTATTTAATAGCCCTAAAATGTCACCTATGACTGGCATGGCTTGGTGATTTCGTGTAGCGCTCAATAGTCGCAGCAGAATCGGTGTGAACCATACTTCTTCTTTACTATACCTATTGGTGAGGACCACGTCGGCAATGACTACTCAGTGATGCCAGCCTGAAGCATTTCATGTATAGCTCTTTTTAAACTTTCTCTCTGTCTTTCAGTGGAGTCCGATACACCCTTAGACTAATGGGATCATGATCCCCTGCACTGAGCTCCTTCTGAGCAGATTGTGTCCTCCCTAACTGCATATCTGTCATCGCAAAGACATCTTCATTTTCGACTAAAACGATTCCAAAATGTCCGTGTGTTGTGATTCTGTCTGTAACTGTTTCAGCAACTCAGCTGCTCTGACCTGACTTGATCTAGTGACCTCATTAACATCCCCTACTCTACTCATGCTCTGAAATCGGTTACTATGATTATGCCACCGCTCCTGTGATCGGATAATTCAATTATTTGTGTCAGTATGCACAGTTACTGTAGCTAGTGTCAGTGTATACAGTTACTGTAGCTAGTGTCAATGTATACAGTTACTGTAGCTAGTGTCAGAGTCCACAGTTACTGTAGCTAGTGTCAGTGTTCACAGTTACTGTAGCTATAATCAGTGTCTACAGTTACTGTAGTTGATGTCAGTGTCCACAGTGACTATAGGTAATGTCAGTGTCTATAGTTACTGTAGCTAATGTCAGTGTCCACAGTGACTGTAGCTAATGTCAGTGTCTATAGTTACTGTAGCTAATGTCAGTGTCCACAGTGACTGTAGCTAATGTCAGTGACTATAGTTACTGTAGCTAATGTCAGTGTCCACAGTTACTGTAGCTAATGTCAGTGTCCACAGTTACTGTAGCTAATGTCAATGTCCATAGTTGCTGTAGCTAATGTCAGTGTTCACAGTTACTGTAGCTATAATCAGTGTCTACAAATACTGTAGTTGATGTCAGTGTCCACAGTGACTGTAGCTAATGTCAGTGTCTATAGTTACTTTAGCTAATGTCAGTGTCCACAATGACTGTAGCTAATGTCAGTGTCCACAGTTACTGTAGCTAATGTCAGTGTTCACACTTACTGTAGCTATAGTCAGTGTCTACAATTACTGTAGTTGATGTCAGTGTCCACAGTGACTGTAGCTAATGTCAGTGTCCACAGTGACTGTAGCTAATGTCAGTGTCCACAGTGACTGTAGCTAATGTCAATGTCCACAGTTGCTGTAGCTAATGTCAGTGTTCACACTTACTGTAGCTATAGTCAGTGTCTACAATTACTGTAGTTGATGTCAGTGTCCACAGTGACTGTAGCTAATGTCAGTGTCCACAGTGACTGTAGCTAATGTCAGTGTCCACAGTGACTGTAGCTAATGTCAATGTCCACAGTTTCTGTAGCTAATGTCAGTGTTCACACTTACTGTAGCTATAGTCAGTGTCTACAATTACTGTAGTTGATGTCAGTGTCCACAGTGACTGTAGCTAATGTCAATGTCCACAGTTGCTGTAGCTAATGTCAGTGTTCACACTTACTGTAGCTATAGTCAGTGTCTACAATTACTGTAGTTGATGTCAGTGTCCAGTGACTGTAGCTAATGTCAGTGTCCACAGTGACTGTAGCTAATGTCAGTGTCCACAGTGACTGTAGCTAATGTCAGTGTCCACAGTGACTGTAGCTAATGTCAATGTCCACAGTTGCTGTAGCTAATGTCAGTGTTCACACTTACTGTAGCTATAGTCAGTGTCTACAATTACTGTAGTTGATGTCAGTGTCCACAGTGACAAGCTAATGTCAGTGTGCAGTGTAACTGTAGCTAGTGTCAGTGTCCACAGTGACCATAGCTAATATCAGTGTCCACAGTTACTGTCATTGCTATTACCATGGGAATATGTTGTTTGTTTTGAATACTGCCATTTTGTCCTTTTTAATGACACTGAATAAACCACAGCATGACTTTGTGATTGTCTTCTCTAGCACAAACACAGACGGCTGACGCAGCTTGGTTTTCTGCCCCGGGTACCCATGCACACATCAAGCTTCAACCCAACCTTCCAGACCACTAGTTTCTCCACGTCTTTGAACAGACAGCCAGCAGCAGCAGCAGCCAGTGGTTGTCTTCTGCCTGCCATCAACACAATCCACAAGGTCAGTCAATGTTGACCTGCACATCTTATCATCATCAACCAAAAACTGTGTGACTGCTGATTGATTGTGTGTGACTGACTGCTGTTCATTTGTGCCTTCTGACTAATTATGTGTGATCGATCATTTGTGTCTCCTGACTGATCATTTGTTACAAATGACTGGTCATTTGCTAGTGATGACTGGTCATTTGCTACTGATGACTGGTCATTTGCTACTGATGACTGGTCATTTGCTACTGATGACTGGTCATTTGCTACTGATGACTGGTCATTTGCTACTGATGACTGGTCATTTGCTACTGATGACTGGTCATTTGCTAGTGATGACGGATCATTGTTACTAATGACTGACCATTTATTACTTATCATTTATTCCTGATCATTTGTTACTCAGCATTTGTTATTGATGACTGATCATTTATTACTTAGCATTTGTTATTGATGACTGATCATTTGTTACTGAGCATTCATAATTAATGACTGATCATTTGTTATTGACTGATCATTTGTTAATGATGACACTTCATTGATTACTGATGACATATTATTTGTTACCGATGACTGATCATACATGTCTGATTGTAACGAAACAGTGGTGTCAGATGTCTTTATTAGGTTAACTTCTAATAATAATAGACACTCTGAAGTGACTTAATGTTGAAATGGCAGCTGTAAAGCTCCAGTAATCATGCAGCATCACTTTAGGGATGAGGCAACTCAAATTATGGGCACCACAGAATTCATACTATTTCTGGGCACAATTTGGCCAGACTTCCTCACCACTTGTTAGCCCCCAGACTAGATAGGATGACCATCATAGTCAAAAGAAACACACATCATCAATAGAAATCCAAAAAGTAGAACATACACTCACACAGAAATAGCTAAAGATAAACTTTGAAATACTGGACACCAACTAAGTTAAATTTATAATAACAATGCAGAATGTAATAATTACAACATTACTAAATAGTCTCAAAAGCATGATATTGAAGAATGAGCTTAAGAACAGGACAATACTGAACAAAGAACATCCTTAGTCTAGAATGACTCCTGATCTGCCAACAGCTGCTATTGTACTCATTACTGCTACTGATTTGAAGTTTAATAGTTCGATCTAAAGCAAAATAAATTGAATGATATTGGTTAATGATGTTGCAATCAAGAATTGGATGCTATGATGATAATGCACATCAATGAATTTGATAGGCATATGAGAGTGATGAGGTTGTGATGATGATAATTCTTATTAACAAGAATAAAAGTTTGACATAACTTGTGAAAAAAATGGAGAAAATAAACCTCAGGCAGCTCTCAGTTTGAGACCCTGCCTATCCTTTTGAGTTTGTTGTCCTTGCTGCTTCAAGCAGGTCGTTACTCTCAGACTATTTGCAAAGACTGGATGCCGACTAGTCCCTGCCCAATGTGAGAACTGTGATAAAGAAACAAGCGCATATGCGTAGTAACTAGAATTACACCAAACATGCCAATTCTAATAAAAACATTTCATCTCTCCCTTATATTCTCATCTCTCCTGTCCAGTCTGGAAGGACATCGTCTCACATTGTAGTTGTTACATTTCCCGCCTTACTCTACTAATGTCCTGTAATGATAGTTGAGTCCTCTAAGTCTGATATCATCTCTCATTCAGACTCAAATTGACATTCTGTTTGACAAAACAAGTTCTGGAATTTACACCTGAAATAATGTGTGCGTCCAGAATTATAACAATATTTCTGGAGCAACATAAAATCTAAATTCTAAGGGTTTCACTCTCCGCGAAAAGTGTCAGAGCTGACAAGAGAAGATTTATGGAAAATCTTGCAGAAACAGCAGAAAATGCTGCTAAAGCACATGATCTACAAACCCTACACAAAATTACCCAGCAAATTTGCGGAAACAGAAACAATTATCACAGCATACCCATCAGAGATAACCAAGGCAGACTGCTCACCACAGAACAAAAACAAGACTTGCAGTGGACTAAACACTTCTCTGGCCTCTTGAACAGACCTGATCCTGAAAATTCCCCTGATATTCAACCAGCCTCTCAGGACATTGACATTATTACTGAACTGTCACGAAACGACCTCAGTGGTTCCAGAAGTTAGTACTTGTAATAGTTCTTCTGGTTATTGAGAGACAAAGAATTAGATTTACTATGCCCTTAAATCAAATATTACTTTAAACCGCATGGATTTAATTGTTATCAGTCCTTCGCCGAGACAAAGCAACTGCGCTTGGTTTAATATTACAAAACACTACGTAATACAGCCCGCTGGTCTACCTGAGAAAGTTCAGACTAGTGGATGTAATGTTTGATTGTAAAGCCAGTGTCATGAAAATATCTCGTGCCCACAGACTGTAGAGGCGAGTAACTGGGGAAATAACTTAGTATCACACCTGAGATTATCTTCTCTGAGCTGAACCTTAGTGTCATAAAGGTTACATAACACAGACTGAGTGGGGTCTTTTGAACAGACTAGATCAGGGGAATTAAGTGGACTGGTAGACCGACGGCGTCCTCTGGGAAGTTTTTACACCTGCCAGTTAAATTCTCAGGAGAACAGGTGTTTGCCAATTAAGATGTCCAAACATTGGTAAGGCTGTTCACCTTGAGCCACAGGCCACTTGTTAGCCAATTTGATCTGCAAGATACTCCTAGGGCGTGGCTTAGGTCATCTCCTGGAGGGTTGGGTAGAACCGAGTGAAGGGAGGAGTTTAACCTTGCAGACAGATAGATAGGTTATACAAGCCTCTGGACTTTCATTCACATCGCAGCCGGCTGGCAACAAACACAGATTGACGTAAAGGTAATTTTACGGTCTGATTCTGGTTTGGCGATTGATGGAATGTTCCCAGGGCCCATGTGACGATCAGTCCATGAACAAGACTGCGAACAAGACATGTTAGACTCGGCCAGCTGGAAACGAGGTGGGAGCGAGGAGGAGAAGCAGGCAGGGAAGAAGCTGGAAGAGGAGGAAGAGCTTGACAGTGCTCACGGCTGTCAGAGGTTCTATGAAAAACAAGTTATGTTCATAAATTGTTCATACTTTATCACCTTCATCACACAATCTAATCCCAGGTACTGTTTTCTCGCTGAAACATCTCATCACTATCATACCATTAGCCAGTCACTGTTTGTGTAAACTCAACAAACTGGGAATGTCTTTGAACTGATTGTTAGAAAATAAAGCTGTATGTCAAGTTTTATACTACATCGTTTGTTAAATTCCAAGTGTATTCAGTCTTACCTGTTTAACTAAACTGATAGATAGAATTACATTTAGTGGGAGCTCAATTAATAATGATAATAATTCTTTAATTATTAATAATAATACCGGGAGAAGGTGGGACGGAGGAGTCATTTTCCCTGTCTAATAATTCATTTAGTATAATGATATAGACATCTAAAACTCCTTTCCTTCTCTTGTGGGTACCAACTGCAGCTAATGTTAAAGTACTTAACGAGCCAATATGGCTGTTTTCTTGGAAATCCTCGACTTTGTCTGAGAGCATCATAGCTCGGATATTAGTCAGTTAATCTGGTGGAGGGGATGTGTTGAGAGGAAAATCCTTACTCAACGTATAAAACATTAAATCCACCCACATCACGTCACATGAACCACCAAGCAAACAAGAAATCCTTAAAGTTATCCACACTTTAAAGAACAACAAAGCACCAGGCAAAGACGAACTGCCAGCAGAACTTCTCAAAGTAGATCCCAACACAACTGCTAGCATTCTAGAACCATTGGTTCAAGGATATTTGGGAAAAAGAATTGTTGCCTGATGACCGGACTGAAGGAACAATAGTCAAAATCCACAAAAAAGGAGACTGCAATAATTGGAGGGGAATTACTCTACTCTCAGTACCAAGCAAAATATTTTGTAAAATCATCATAATGCGGCTTGAAAAAGGAGTAGATAAATGCCTACGAGTGGAACAAGCAGGATTCAGAAATGGCAGAGGAACAACTGAGCACATCTTCGCCATACAAAACATTTTAGAACAATGCAACGAAATGGTGGGACTGAGAATAAATACAAAGAAAACTAAGATCATGACAAACAGTCCAAACCAACAACCAGTGACCATAAGTAACCAATCACTTGAAAACGTAGAACATTTCACGTATCTTGGCAGTGTGGTGTCCCTACTGGGAGGGACAGAGGAAGACATACAGTCACGTCTGAACAAACCTACAGCTGCTTTTGGAAGGATGAGGCAAATCTGGAAATCCAACAATTACTGCAGAGGAACGAAACTCCGACTCTACAAGAGCATCATTTTGCCAGTTCTTCTTTATGGAGCGGAATGCTGGAGAATGACCAAAAAGGATGCACACAAGCTGTCCACCTTCCACCACACATGTCTACGTAGAATTATCAAAATTTTCTGGCCAGACACAATCTCAAACACTAAACTCAACTACTTCAAGCCACAAACCAAGAAACTTTAGACAGGATGATTACCAAGAGAAGATGGAAATGGCTTGGCCACGTTATGAGAATGACTTCTGAAATACCTGCCAAAACAGCTCTCACATGGACACCAGAGGGAAAGAGAAAACAGTGGCGCCCAAAAACAACATGGAGACGAACGATGGAAAGTGACCTGAGTGCGGCATCTTTGACATGGAAAACTGCACTGAAGATTGCACAGGACAGGAAAGCATGGAAAGTCCTCTCTGAAGCCTCATGTGCCACTAGGCATAACGAGAACTGATGATGATGTAACCTGTCAGCTCTGCTAAAATTTCTATTTTGTCCTCTTTCGTTCTGAATTTGTGACCTCAGTGGACCCTGCTTGTCGTTGAATGGTTTCTATCGTACTTTGTAGTCTGTGGTCCTGATTACCTATAGAGTAGTGCAATCTTGCTTTAGGATAATTCCACGTGTTTTTTTTTTTTTGGGGGGGGGGGGGGGGGATAGGAAAATCAGTTAGCACCGACATTATGTGTGGTAACCGTTGTTACTTTATAACTCATCTTTTCTCCC